AAAAATTGGAAATAATATGTGGATATTTTTTTGTAATATTAAGTTTATTTATCCTTATGAAAAGTTATATTACCACAAACTTTGACCATTTTCTATTTGTTAATAAATTAATTTTGTTGCATATCAACTATACCTACTTAAGTCCATAAAGATTCATTATGAGCTTTACAGCAATCAAGATTTAATAAAAATTACATTCTATATTTTATCCTTATTTGTAATTTTTTTGTATTTATGGCTCCAAAAAAATGAAGAATCAGCAACCAACAAATTCAACTCAAGATCTATTTTTTGTTGAGTTATGGACAAGGCATTGAGATTGTCTTAACTTTCAAGACAATATTATAGAAATAAAAACCTTCAAGAATGATTTTTTTTTAAAAAATAGATTACAAAATATAATGCATTTAATATCACAATTTTGAAAAAAAATCTTCATGTTTGGAGATATTATTGGTGGTAAGAACCACTTTTTATGATCTTTCAAATTTTTTATTTAAATGAAGTTATAAAGACCTCAAAAATGATTAATTAACAATGTGGTCTTGTTGCCCTAATATGGAATAATATCAATGGCTAAGAAGACCTATCAACTACAATCAAATATTATATTCAAAGATTAGAGTATGTAGCAAATACAATTTGTTTATTCTTTGACATTGTCAACATGTGATCATTGCTTCTTATTGGACTTAATTTTAGAAAGGGAGTAATGTCAAAAATATTATTTATACTAGTTATTACCTAAATCAAAGAAATTAAATAGAAATAAATAAATATAATATATATTTAATAATATCTTGTAGAAAAGCTTCTTAAAAGCTTCATAAATATAGATTTGAATTTAAATGTATCTTGGATGATTGATAAGTTGAAAATTGGGCCAACAAGTTGGCCATATCTTCCACAAATTGACCACTTGTGGTACTTATATATAAAAAAACTTATCTTGTAAATTAAACATGTGGTTTATAAGTTAGACATGTGTCTTACAAATTGGATTTATATTGGAGGTCATATAAAACCCTCCCATATAGCTCTTAGTTAGATATTATATATAGAGGCAAGAGTAAGTCATTCCTCACTCATTTTCATTTCTTTCTTGCTTCTAGTCTAATTTCAAGAATTCTTAGTTTTTCAATCTCTGACTACAACCATTCCATGTTTTTTTTAAATATAAACACTTTTTTTTTCTTCTTTTTGTTTAGTCATCTCTTTTCAATATGCATCTCACTTGTTAATTTCCATTCTTTAAATTCTTGTCTTTAACAACAAAGAAGTATTTGGTCCAATAAGTAAAGTTATTAAAATATAGCTCAAGTCTCTTTCTTATAGATGGTTTTTATTAAAAACAAGTTTGTGGATGAAGAATTCTTTATATATGCATGTAATGCTTATCAAGACAATTTTTTTATTCTTTGCTTATTATTCATTGTAAATACTATTACAACCACTATTGACATATTTTTAAAAAAAAACTTTGTATGATGTTTCTACTCTCTTATGTTAATATATATATACATATATTTATTTATCTAATAGCTAAGCTATACTCACTTAGATTTCTTAATTATTACTATATAATTTATTATTTAAGATATAAAAAAAATATAATTATATATTTTTTTAAATAAAGACTTTTAATATTAAAGGTATCAATTGAACTTGCTATTAGTTATACAATAATTGGTTATATTTGCAAAATATATATTTCAAGGTTTTATTAGAGTTAAAACAGAATAATATTAAATTCTATTTGATGCTTATAAAAAAAAATCTTACACAATATTACAACATGCAAGGTACATAATGTAATTGAAGCTTTTATAAACTTTGATTGTATTGCCAACGTGGTTGTATGTACCAATATGGTGTATAATTTATTCAAAGCAATTGAATTGTATGTAATGCTAAAGACCAATAAGTTTTTATTATTACATAATTACTATTAAATGTAAATAAACTTTGCCATTCAATACAAATATTAGATTGTTGAAGATTAGTAGAAATTTGTGTAGTCCAAAAAACCATGATTAATTGATTGAGATTAGATAGGCAGACTTAGTATTAGAAGCAAAAGAAAGAAGTATCATCAAGTTGTACTTATCAAGAAATTGTAAAATATGATGGTGGTTTGTTCATAGTCTAGGATTGTTTGATTGCCTAGGGCATAGATTATTTCACCAAGATTAAAAAAAAATATAGATGTAAACTTATATTTTTAGAATCTATGCAAAGAACTAATAGAGATTTTTAGATGTAATAACATAAGTATCAATGATATAATTCTTTGATAAGACAAAAACCAAAAATCCACTTTTAAAAGACAAAGTATTTTGAGGAAGTTAACATGCAATTTTTGCAATTTGCAATACTATCTCTATACATCAATTCAATAGAAAATTTGAATGAGCATCTCAAATATTATTTGAATATTCAATCATTGCTACTATTTAAGATATTGGAATTATAGATAAAAAATAAAAATAAAAAGGTGAGAAAAAATCAATAAAGATAATATTTTCAACCTTATATATAAGATGCCACATTATATAGATGCAACTTAGAAGGCTAAAGAAAGGCCAACAAAGTATTGACTTACTAATCAAAAAAGTGTTTCAATGTCCTTCGTATATATATTGTCTTATTATTCTATGGTAATGCAATCAATTGCTTTGATTTTTGCATTGGATATAAATGTAATAGTATTTAGTTTACCATTTAAGTAGCAAGTTGTTTGGAATTATAAATAGGTTGCAACAAGATAAGAAATAAGGCAAGAACAAACACTAGATATTTTTTTTAAGTCACTGTAGATTATGGTGGTGATGATGCATTGTTCTTCATTATTTTGGTTTTTTTAGAATAAGAATATAAAATTATTACGTTAAGGTGATTATGATCGAATTTCTATTTAGTAAATTTAAAATTTAGTTACAAATAATTTTTATTTAATTTTAAAATAACTTGATGCTCATCTTCTTATATTTTTTAAATTGGTGGTAGTTGTCTTATTTTTAGTACTATAATACAATTTTCATCTCTCTTTTAACTATTAATATAAAAAAATCCTACCTAGATTGTTCTTAGAATTACAATAAGTTTTGTTGTGACTTTCTTATATAAAAATATTATATATATATATATATATATATATATATATATATATATATATATATATATATATATATATATATATATATATATATATATTTTAAAATATATATATTAAAATTATTATATATATTTTGATTCTAATTCTTATACCAAAAATAAAATTTTCATTTTTCATTATAAAAATAAAATTTAAATATATATTTATTTTTTTAATTAAAAAAATAATTTCTATTATTAATATTTCATAACTTAACAAAAAATATTTGACTTATATTTGAAAAAAAAATACTAAGAATTTCTAAAATAATCTAAATTTCTATAATATAATAATATACTTGTGGTAGTATTTGAGTCTGGTTTAATAAGAATTTTTTTATCATAAACAAATTGGTAATGTTTAAAGGTTTAATCAAATATGTTATTTAAAATAAATGAAAAATATATAATTATAATTATAATTATAATAATAAATCATTTATATTTTATAATTTATGCATATACATATATATATTTATAATATATTTTATATTATTTTTAATTTTTAAGATTTACTCAAATTTATTTCTTATACAGCACTAATTATATTGTATAAAATTATAAAATCCTCGTGTTATTGTTTTATTGATATTATGCTAAATTAATCCATGTAAACTTTGTAAAAGATATTTATTTAATTACTAAAATATTATTTTCAATTGGTCTTAACTACTAATCATAAACTTTGTAAACATAGTATCTATGTAGTTTTAAAGTGGTTTATTTGAAATTAATTTTAAGATTAGTTTTAGAATACCTGTAATATTTTTATTATACTGATAAATTATAAATATAAATTACTTATAGGTCTTATTTTCAATCAAATTAATATATAATAATATAAGTTACTTATAGATCTTATTTTCAATCAAAGACATCTTGTAGTATTATTTTTATATAAAAAAATATTTATATTATATCATAAGATTTCTATAAGATATTTATAGAGTAAAATGCTTGTACCAAAGATATTTGACTTAGTATACTTTAGCTTTGTAAAGATAAATAAGAATTGCTCAAGATATTATTGTAATAATTACATTTAGTTGGTTTTTATTTTAAAGTAGAAAGTTTGATAATAAGTTGAAGCTATTTAGGGATTGGACTTAACATCTATTAATAAAAACACTTATGCCTTGTGTACTCTTTTTTATACCTTTATTCATGTCTTATATTTTGAAGACTTAGTCATAAATAATATTTATTGATCCAGGAGGGAATAGCACGAGATAGCAACTGATTTAACCGATAGATGCATAACTTGGCAGAAAGATTGAAGGTGTAAATGAGTCCAAAAGCTATATCAATGTTTGGTTCTGCAAGAATGCATGCTTGAATAATCAATGGAACTCAATGATGTCTGGCTTGGTGAATAGACGACAATAGTACAAATATCTCCAAAATAACCTTAAATCCCAACTTCAATAATGTCCACTGTTCCAGAATTATCCCAAAGTCTATTGTTCTGACATTGACCAAGTGGCAGAATACAGATAAGGTGAATGATTAGTCCGGAATACGGGTTGAGGAACTGGACATGACATGTGGGCCGTTAGCCACTGCAGAGTTTGCATAAGCTCCCAGCCTGTCCTATTCTGTACTTTTCTGATTATAAAATGCAGCATTAACAGTTCTTGTAGGCCTCTTGGTATAGTAAAAGACCTGACTAGTCAATTTAGTGATTGAATTTCATGTCTCGCTTTGAACCAAACTACTTCATAGATACATCCACCGATTACGTTCCAGCTGTAGGGATTGGCCATTTGCATTATGGGATTCCTTGGCTTCTGCCTTATTGCAGAGATACGCTATAGAATGTTAGAACGTCGTCAGCAGATAAAACAAGGTAACAAAAATATCAAAAATATCAAAATTCCTGAAGTGATTATTACAAAAAGAAATGACGTGCTACCGATGGCACCACCATCTTGCATACGGAAACGATGAAAAAATGAGGTCATGCTAAATGCCACATTCAATAGAATAGACCGCATCTAGGGACTCATTTCTCTTACCACGATTGCAGATTCATCTTTGATATTGCTAACGTTTATGGTACAAAAGGTCCATACAACTCAGAATTGGGCTCTATCTGATCCAGCTGTTCCGCACACCTCTCAAGGGCTTGAGGACCGTCAATAAATATGTCTGACCAAAACACTAGATCAATCAGCGGTAATTGTAGCCACCTTCTTGTCATTCCGCATGCGCTTTCTATTTTCTCTTTGTTCAGCAGTATATTGCCTCTTTGACAGCAGGTCTTTCATGGCAAGCTCTGCAGCCTCGGTAGCGGACTGTACTTTGGTAACATCAGCTTCACTTCCTTGTAGCGTTCGTAGTAGAGAATCACCTCCAGGGATCTCTGCTGCGTCTAACAACGTACCCTCCCTTGCAACTTGGACGTGGGTGACCGCAGCTAGAGCAATACCCTGTGCCTGAGTCTGTGCAGCAGCTTCAGCCTCAGGTGTCACAAACTCATCACCCTTCACTACGCATTCAGCAGCCCCCGCAACCATCCAGAGGTTATTATTGCAGTCAAATGATAGACTGCTTGGACAATAACCCGGAGTTACCACCTTCTGTATTAGCCAAACACCAAAACATGAATGATGATAACAAATAGCTAACACTGATTACAACCAAACCATTCGTTGTAAAACAACCGTCTGTTGTGGTCCAAAAGCGATAGGAACGCACAACAAAAGACAGAGAGACACACATAGATGACCCTCTTTGAAAGAATGATCAGAGCACTGCACCAATACAAATGTTATGAAGGTAAAGTAAGAGCTAGACAAGCGTAAGAATGGAAGTTGACCGCATGTAGTTTTGTAGAATCTGAATTAAGATCATGGAGAAGCTCACCTTCAGTAGTTTTAATTTCTTCTCAAGCGGATCGCAACTAAAGATGAGAACTCCCTCAAACCTGCGCCCAAGTGTTGTTCAGAAGCCCATTTAATACCTCGAGGAGCTCAATAAAACAAAGAGCAGAAACGATCCAACGTTTCCCAGTACAGCATATCAACATTATGGTTCCGCAAACATTAAGTGCCGGCTCAAGCCATTTTTTAATGGCAGTTGCACAATACGACACTCGAAACTTTAGCAAGGAACTAAGTACACTAACTAGAATGACAATAAGACGAAAATAACGCAGTAATTAAATTTAGAGCAGCAGAACTAACAAAAAGTAGATTCACCTTTCAAGAATTGCAGCAACCGTAGATGGAGGTGAGGAAGCAAGGGCAACTACTGCTCGGCTGTCTTCTTTTAAATCGCTTTCATCTCCCTTTATTCATACGATACCAAGAATTTTCAGTGCATCAACCAACACAACAATCAGATTCAAACATGGGATTCGTAAAATTAGAAATAAATGCTAAAGTTTGGCATCAAACTAGTTACAGAAGACAAATTCCACAAACCTTAGTTGTGTCAAATGTGTCCAGCAACGTTCCACTTTCATAGTGCCACAACCGAACCTGAAACCATCACAATGAACAGCGACATATGAGGTAGTACTAATATGCTTCGCCAAAGTATTTGATTTCAGCAATTTGGCATAGAAGAAAACCAAAGGATTGCACAAACAATGAGAAAAGAGACAGTTGCGAGGATATTGCAACAAGGTCTTAAGCATTGTTAATGTTTAGATACCATAAAGAAACACACACGGACAAACCTACAAGCGAAGTGCTCAAAATGACATGGAACCTCACCGTGCAGTCACCGCCTCCAGATACAAGTAAACCATAGGAACCTACAAATGCGAGACAAGCCACAAAGCTGCTTGGATTGGGTTAAACTTGCAACATACTGTAGACGCATTTCCGCAAAAGCATAAATTTTAAAATCTGCATTCATCTTAGTTATAGTGCAATATTTCTCGAAAGAATATTAGCTGGGCAAAAAACATGTCAACCATTGGACAAAAGCTATTTCATGTTCAGCTCATGTTTCAGTCCTCAACGTGTTAATGAAACCTTCTATAACTGGAGTAGCCAATCTTCCCCATCAAATTAAGTTTCCCATACACTTCCTTGAACCTTGAACAGTGTTTGATAATGAAACGTTTAACAAGGTAAGAAGGTTAAAAGGCCACATACTTAGTATGACCTAGGCAATAGGAGTGTATCTCATGTGCCCCTGCTAGGGGCTCCTCAGGGAATCCGGTCACCTGCAATGGCAAAAGGTAAGACTAATGGCGTCGAACAACTTAATCAAAACAATATTATAAAGGTTCTACACTGTTCCAAGAATAACGAACTACACATAAGCAGAAGTAAATATTACCCGAATTTTGAAATCTCGATCTGATGTCACAATATATTTGCAGTCCGGTGAGCAAATCTGCAGTTTCACCAGTGCTTTTGTGAGAAAACTTAATCAGTTCAAAAGTGTATTAGGAATATACGATTCATTCAAAATCACACCTTAACAAAAAAAACAAATGCCTTCAGATACAGACTGCTCACATTAAGTGGTTTAGAAGTTTATGTGTTAGAGATGTAGCGCTAGAGTGAGAAGAGAGAATACCATGCAAGTTATGATGCTGCAACAATGAGCCAAAAGCTGAACAGGTTCACCAGCTGGGTCCGAAGGAGAAGTGGAGAAAACATAAACAATTCCAAATTTGTCGGCCACCATGAACCACAAACTATCATTGCTAAAAGTGACTGCACTCACTTTCTTGGTCAGACATCTGCCATTGTGAAATACCAACTTCAGTTATGTGTGCTACATCAATGAACATGATCACAGTACTTTTAACGCGTTTCTGCCTGAATTCAAAATCAAAACAAGAACACCGGGTCCCTGAGATCGAGCAACCAGACATTTAATTTAAGACTCGGGACAGGAACCCTAAATCTTAAACGTTCTGAAAGAGTAAGATTTAGGTTCCCTACCCGGAGACTAGATTCCTTGAGAGAGCCAGTCAGTCAACATCCATATTTCAGAAACACAAAGGTTGCAATTGAATTCGCAATATACATTGTCTTGATGCACGTCCAAGTCTTGGCATCCCATAGCTTAACTCGTTTATCATCACCCACGGTAGCAAACAAAGAACCTTCCACATTAAAGGCGATCGATCGAATGGCATCCCCATGCAGTGTTGGATTCGTATTGTCCTTGATATCCACAGCACATCCTGTACTGCACCAGCACCAACTCACATACCGTTTCAAACACCAAGTTGTGATTTAAGTAATGCATTGTTCTATTCTCAGCATACTCCATCTAGGACAGCTCAAAGCAACCCCAACTACTAAGACGGTGTCATACGAAATCGAAAGCACGAACCAAGCGTCCCTACAAGCGAGACCCGCAGTACCTACTCGAGTCAAGTTAATCAGGAATCTAGAATCAAACTCTCTCATTCCACAAACATGTTAATGTACTGCAACACGAGACAGACTGAGAATTCAACTAAATTTGGAAATTTTGGCGGTCAACAATCACAGACCGATGGCATGGCGACTCAAACGCTCGTATTAGAAGCTCTCAAGTCTAGCCAAAACTGAGCCCAATTTCAAAGGTAGAGTTGCACCATTTTCAGTGACAACCACAAGTTGTGAACATGACCCCAGCAGCAATTCAGCGGAGCACAGAGACCAATGCAAGTAATCAAACCTGAAGTCGAAAATGCGGAGGTGGGCTCCCACGGCGACGACAACACAGGCGCCATCGGGACGCACGGCGATCAATGCCGGGGCCATGCTCTTGCTCTTCACGTGTTGTGGGTGCTGGGGAGCATGCTCGCACAACGCCAACGCATGGTCCTCTGCCATGACTGCAGCTGCGATCGATCGGTGGAGCAGCGGCAACAATAACAATTGAAACACAGCGATAGTCGCAACAGTAGCCGCACGAGAAAACACAAATCGTTTTCCTGGAAATGCAAACAAAACCAGCTTCCGTGTTCACGGCGAATCCAGGCCTCACAACCCTAATTGCACATTTAGTATCTCGTATAAAAATACGTGTATGTGAGTGATGAATGTACTATATGTGTGTGTATGTATGTATGTATGTATGGATTGTGATGCTGTGTGAACGCGGATGTATCATTTCGTGTTCAGAGATTTTACATGTTTACTAAAGTTCTGCTTCTTCGTAAAACGACTCTTAATTCTGTTCTATGCCTATTGTACACTTGGTTAAAATCCAATATTACGACGCCAAACTATAATTGGCTGATAATCGAACAGTCAGAACTAAATTGTATGATAGTTTTTGGATTTGAGTGAAACAGTTATAGTTTTGATGATATTGTACGATGATTCTTGCAAAGTGTCACATGCATAATTTATAACTTTTTTGTGAATTTTTTTATAACTTTTTTATGTTTTGTTGATAATTGGTTACTATTCTTGATAATTTAATAGATTATAAAATATTTTTGTTTCACAGATCTACTTTAATTTCCTGTTCTCTAATGTGATGCAGAAAATGGCATCTGCTCAATATGAACACATTTGAGTAAATTAGATTAAAATAAATTGAGCTCCGATGGAAACTATTTTCTAACAATTGTAATAATGCGTTTTTTTTTTTTTTTTTCTTTCCCATGTACGTGTAAATATAAGAATTTAATCAAATTAAATTTAAAACAATATGGTTTACCTTTTAAAATTCTTAATCCAATAGATGCTTTAATTCTGAAACTTCATTGTGAATCTATCCTGGTTGTCAATAAAATACCATATATTAGTTTTGTTGTCTTTGCTGCAAATGTACCAGAATGTGACACACACACACACTCATTTGGTAATTATAAGATTTTTTATTTTTATTTTTATTTTTGAACTTACTTGTTTCTTCTTCTACTCGTTACTGGAATAAATTCTACACCAATACAGCAACAAGGTCATTATAGGGTAAAACTTGGTCTAAAATTATGAGTTTATAATCCGACATTGAAGTTCATGGGACTTCCTCCAGTGCTTATCCACTCGCACCCTCTCCCAACCCATTAAGCAAAGTAAATTAAAAAATTAAACTTTTTTAAAAAAAGGGTGTAAGAGAACAATATGAAAGTATAAGGAAAAGGAAATAGAGGGAAAGAGACTGTTGAGCTGGTTGCTGGCGGGAAAAGTCTGAAGGCGATAACATAGCTCTATTCAATATCTCCGGGCAGAAGGGGGGGGGGTGAAAAGGAAAAAAAAAAGAAAAAAAAAAGAAAAAAAAAAAGAGGGACCGCGGGAACTGTACGATACTTATCCAGCAACGGGGAAAGGCCAGAAAGCCAAAATATCTGGGCACGAAGAAGGAGACACTGCTGTGGAGGGGCACCCACAAAAAGGAATGATTCCTCCAGTTCCAAGTTGGATGAATATTGAGATTAACTGAACATACAGGCGAAAATTATTCATCCATCGCGATTTGTGCAAACGGAACGGGGTGACAGTGAGAAAAGGTTACAATTCAGACCTTGTCCAGGAGGGGGGGGGGATGAGATGCGTTTGCAGACAAATAAATCCCTATCAGCCAGTCAGCCAGTCAGCCAGCTTGGCCCTACCTGATAGGCTGCGGCCACGCAAGGCGCTGAACAGACAATCCCCACAGATCATATCTGGCAGCTGATTTGTCCAACGCCGATAGGCTCAACTCTGATCCCCATTGCCACGTCGGAAACCATTGCCAATTAGGGAATGGGGGAGGGGTGGGGGTGCCATGTTGACCACAAGCATTATGTGGGGTTAGACTCATTGGGTGGTTGAGGCACCTATACCCACTTGAGAGGGATGGGAAACGAAGGCCCTTCATTGCTGATTAGGCTTCTCGTGTGGTCCAAGGTAGCATTCAAGAGAGTGTATTAATACAAAAAAAAAAACAAAAACAAAAAACAAAACAAAAGGGGGCAGAAGAGCTGAAACCCTAGAAGGGAGCCAGCTAGCTAACCACACACAGAGCGAGAGGCATAAGAGAGTGCAGCAATGTGGGTAGCAGCTCTTGCTGACGTGGAATCCACTGACAGGTCAGAACCCATAGAAGCTGCGGTGGCAGGATGCGAAGTGGAGGGATTGGGTGTGGGCTGTTGATGTGGCATGCTCTCATTATCCCATTCCATTTTGCCCCATCTTACGTAATCGTTTGAATACAATCTTTGCTTTCCACGCAGAGTGGACTACACTTATATACATATATATATAAATATATGTATTACCCGCTTTAACACTGACAGTGGAGAACAAAGGAAATAGCCCATGTGGTACTTGGAAGCTATTTCGGAGGGCAATGCAGAAAACCATCAAAGATGATTCGGGCCTCACAAGGGTGATGATCACCATCATCATCATCCATGTTGGATTTTAATAACCTGTCCATGGGCATTACAAGTTTTAAAAAATAATAATAAAAAAATCCTCTGGCAATTTTAGTTTTGTTGCTAAAATTTCTTACAACCACATTCTTCCCATTCATTGATGTGGTCGTATGAGTAAGCAAATTCATGCAATCATTATCAGCGAAGTTAATGGGAGAAAATAGAAAGAAAAGAAGAAGAAATACATGAAGACTGAAAAGTGTGTGTTTAATTGAGAAGGGGGAGGGGGGGGGGTTGAGATGAGAGGTGGCGATCTATTCAATTAGGGTGGTGGGGAAATAGTATGGTCCACTCAAAGGAAATGATAATGTGTGTGTGTTTGCAGACTATTAGTGGCTTACTCAACACACATTCCTCAAGCTGCAGGCGCGGCGGAGACCTCAGCGTGGGGAGGAGGCTGATGCGCCGCGGTGCCCACTGCATGGCGAGGCCCGGCAGCTGTCCTTCGGGATACTGATGAGTAGCGAAGCAACGGCTATCGATTACATGCGGGGCCGTTCACTCGCATGGGGAGTGGGGGTGGGGGATGAGATCTGCTAGCAAAGGAGGCGGCAGCAGCAACAACAGTTAGTCGAGGACGATCGTGGAGGGGCGAACTCCAAGATCATGCTACTAGCATTTGTCATCAGGTAGAATTGGATCATCGTCGGGCCCCGCCCGATGGGCCGTCTAACCTCGTATGTCGGTGTGATCTATACGCTCTGCAGCTAACCAGAAGCAGCAGTGGATGTGTTTTTTTTAAGTAGCTAGATTTTCTGGTGTCTGAGGGGCCGGCTATCACTGACGCCGGTATGTGGGCGGAGTGGGCTGAGTGGTGGTGAACTAGTCATACATCTGGGATCTTAGTAGACTGGGCTGGGAGATGCGGAGGATGCGATCTAGAGGGGTCGCAGTGCATGCTTAGATCGGTGCGCTGTGGCAAGTGTGGTTTCCGTTTTTTTTCTCTCTGTGTTGGTTCTTCAAGGGTCGAGGAATTGGGGGGAGATGGCGGAGAGTGGGAAGGATGGGCGGGGCTCGAGGCGGCCACTGCTGGTAGCCATGAAGGGGCACCCAGGGTGTGGCAAGACGACGGTGTCTCGCGCCATAGCCAAAGCGTTGCATTGCCCCGTGGTGGACAAGGACGACATCCGCGACTGCAGCATGGATCTCGAGTGCCCGTGCGTCATGTCGTGCACATGCGAGAGCAAGACGTTTAACTTCACCTCGCACAAGCTCAACACGCTGTCGTACGTAGTGATGTGGAGGGTGACGGAGACGCAGCTGGAGCTCGGGCTGGATGTTGTGGTGGACTGTCCGCTGGAGCGCCCAGGTCTCTTCGATAAAGCTGTCGCGCTCAGCGAAAAGTTCGGCGCGACGCTCGTGATTGTGGAATGCTACTCGGGGGACAATCAAATATGGAAGGAGCGACTGGAGAGCAGGGCGGAGCTGGGCATGTCTGATACTCAGATCGTGTTCACAACTCGGCCTAGCTTAGGGTAACACGACTTCTCTGATCAATTTTCTTCTCAAAATAGTTAATTGCATAGAGTCTGGAATGTCTGCTCTTCTCCAGTTTGCACGGAGTTTACTTGTCATGGATGATGCAGTGAAAGGTCATCTGATTGTGTGGTTGGGTTCAGATCACAGGTGATTTGTCCTCTATCAGAAATCGGTCGGGCAATTGCGTTGTGAATGTGCACTAAAAAAAAGTTGAACTCTTCTGTGGGGCGAAGCTTTGAACTTGATTGCGTAATTGTTTAGCAGGGACGAGCATGACTTTTATCATCTGGAATCGAACGATACTCCTCGTAGTCGTGTTCTCACCATGGATTCTTCCGATCTTCCTCAGTTAGCTGCGCGAAAGCTTGGCGCCGAAACCGAGACTCGGAAGGTGAGTGCCGGTTCCCGTATCCTTAAAAGTTCGTGCTCACAGTTATCCTCATCTGAATCACCGCAACGATTCACCCTTCAGTCCATTGAGGAGCAGTTATCAAAATATTCAGTGGGGCAGACATCACTGGTTTAGCATATCTCGAGAAATGTCCCTCCATCATCCCCCCTAAACTCAGCACCAATTTCGGCTCAAACTCAAAACTGGGATTGAATTGGTAATCTTACGTCGGAGAGCTTTGTCTTCTGTTCAGACGGTACTGGACGTAGGATTCGGGGGCCCAACGGCGCCTCCCTCGAAACGGTGGCACAAGCCGGCACGGTGGTCGGATATTGAGAAAATCCTTGAAAAGTATGCAGGCTGCTTCAAGTATGACACAGGCTCAACTAAGAAGATCATGGTGGACACTACAGCGGTTCCCAGCCAAGAGGCTGTGGATGCAGTGCTCCGGTGGCTTGAAGCGCTAGACTCCACCACTGAGCTGGTAACCTATTACCCTTGAAAAAACAATTGCTCCATCAACTAGTAAGAGCGACCCCATCTAGTTTGTACAGTGCTACCAGCAGTTGTTTAAAACTACTATATCGCAGATTCTTTTTTTCCTTTTTCTTCCTTTTTGGGTGTTTTTCGATGATTCCGGCAACCTCGACGCGTTCAATTCCAACGGAAGGGACAGCTCTGCTGCAACCAAAGCTTGCGTGGGCGAAATGGTCTCCAAGGTTTCCCTAATACAGATGAACTCTGCTTTAGATACTTATTCTGCGCTTTTGCAATCCTCTGAAGCGTTTGGATTGTGTGACTAGCAAGCAAATAAGATGAGCGTCGTATCTTCCTTGCCTTATTGATGCCCACGGTGTCATTGAATCATCTGTTTGGTCTCATAGGAATGATCCATAGCAATGATGATGATGATGATGATAAAAGTAAAAATAATAATCATAACAATAATGGGTGCAATAGAAAGTTGAAAAATTGAGAGAAGGTGAGAATTTTTTGGAGATGGTAGTGGATGACTGATGAAGAGATTGTTGGACACAAGATTTGTCTGTTACCTCTTGGAACCGATGATTGTCGCCCATAACTTAAAAAAAAATCGACATCGATGATATCAATGTGTAGGCTGCAATATAATTTATTTAGTTATTTTGGATTAAAATTATAGTACAAGATACAAGTTTAATAAAATTTATATATTTTAAATGTTTTTTTATACTCATCAAAAATATTTTGGTATGATGTATTTTATTTCCTTAATTTATAATTCTAATACATGTTCTACAACATAATGCTTGAAATTGATCAATATGATAATGTAAGTGGTTTGTATTTTCTATATTTTATTCAAAATTTAAACATTTAATGTATATTATTAATTTTAAATATTCTAATCATAGCGAAAGTTAATACTTAATCATACCTCCAATTATATTATTTAATACAAAGATGTTTGGTAGCTCCTTAACATTTTTTGGACAACTCACTAGCAAGCAACCAACTGTTGTGAGCCTTAAAAATATTGGATAAAAAGATAAATAGTAAACATTTTGGGGTATATATATATATATATATATCTATATATGTGTGGTAGAACAATCAAATAAAATAAAGTTTTAGAGATTTATAAAGATGTCATAGTCAAAGAAGTCATTTATATTTTTTGTTCATCCAAATACTAGATACCGGTTAAACACCTAGTTTACTATGACCTTAGAAGAGAATGTGAGAGGCCACAACTTTTAAATCCTTTGATTGGTTGAAATCAAGAAATATCGCTTAGTTGGCTCTATATTTTGAAAAATCTATCCAAAAGTCCTAAGAAAAAAGATGATAATAAATGCATGTCTAGTCTATATTACAAATAGTGCTATCCCTTGGAATTTGTGCTTAATCCACTTCAAGAGGTGATTTTTACAAAAATTCAAAAAGAGATGTTCAATATTGCTTAAAATGACCATAAAAATAAATAAAAAATAAAAAATGCTTGTCATACTTGTTAAAACAAGACACGATGTATTTAGATTTATAATAAAGGAATGATTTGGTTCAATTCATGGCCTCCTCTCATTTTACACTATCTCCAAAAACCAAAGTTTTCAAAGAAAAAAAATTCATTACCAAGTGGGAACCTTTGTAAAACTTCTACACCATGACTTTGAAAATGGACTTCTAGATATAAAGACCTCCTCACTGAAAACAAACAATTCCATGAGCTCCAGACAATCCTGCAAGTGAGGCAGCCACTGCAAAAGTTCCCAGAACTTGGATGTAACCTCACTGCTATACTTTCTAGCAGGGAAATTAGACACAATGGCACTGACATTATTTTCTCCTTTAAAAAGCAAACCCACAAATGTTAGTTCCAAGTTTCAAATTCCTCCTGATTAATCGTCGCAATGTCGACAATGGCACTCACCTTGCGCACCCTAGTGTCACACCTTCTACACAAGTATTTTCATGCGCACATCCCGTTTTCTGAGCTCGCAAGGTCCAGCAAATTTGTCAACAAAAAAGTGAGAGTGAGGTAGCAAAAAGGAACATACCTAACGTGCAAAGAAGAGCAACGCTGGTTCTTGAGTGGGAGCAAGGAAACAAGGATCCGGCGATGCTATGAGCAGAGGGGCCAAAAAATGAGACTGACTAGGACCGTGAGTAAAAATGGATATTGAGAAGCCTGTGGGTGGAGCGCAACTTTGGAGCTGAAAAATTAAGGTGGAAAGAGGTCGCACGGGAATCACGAAATCATGGGATTGCAGCACTTGATGACTGGCTGCAAGCGGACCCACGCTTTACTGGGCCTGAGTATTAGGCTGCGAACCGATAGCCTGGAATGCAAGGAATCGATACCATTGCAGTGACAATTGAAAGAGGGCGAGACTTGGAATTGCATGCGGCTGGTTTATTGGTGGTCGTTAATTCAAGGCATTCAAAAGGCTCACTTCACTCTCCAATCAAATTACGGCAATCAGTGGAACCTAATAAACATGAAAAGTAGTGTTGTGTGTGTGTGTGAGAGAGATGTGAATCGGTGTCAGCGACCAAATGCCCGGTTCATCTCAACCACCCAATCGAATTTGGGAATGGAAAGTCAACGTTCAAGGACGACATGATTAGCAGCATTCCCGTTCAAAACGAGTTAGTACAAAAATGACCAAATTAGAAAATAATTAATGTGGGCAATACAAAGAGAATAAAACAACTAATTAAATAGCACTTCGAACATCCTCAAAACTAAGAACTCAGCAGGAGCTTGAACAAAGCTAGGAAGATTCATTCAACTACTCAAGAAAAAAGAAAAAAATCAAATCAAATCAAATCAAATCAAGTTACGCAATACTCAATCGAACTGTTAGCTTGACAGTGGTTGGGGAAGGCAAGGTGCAAAACTTGCTAATTGTCACTTAGGTGGTCAACAATATGTACAAGGACGATAGTACGGGACTCACGACCCAAGCACTTTCTCTAGAATGTCAGCCTAGGAGAACCTCACCAACTATATGCATCCATGTGCTCTACACCACTATCTGGATCATGCTGCAACTACTACTACGGAAGTCGTTGATATATTTCAAGCCAGGTGATCCTCTGCCATTTCTTAAGATTAACATAAGCGCAAATTCTATGCACTACGAGAAGAGGTAACACTACAAGTGGCAGGGCAGATGTTCCGCTGGGGATGCCATGAAACCATATTCTAGCTGGCACAGTACACCCTCACCTGCATCCATCGCTACTTATCTATTGACAAAAGTGTTTGGGGCCACGACGTCTTCTTAAGGAACCATCTTACAGCCAAGAAAAGAGTAAATGCTCTTTACATCACCTTCATTGTGTGACGACTTGACGGAATGGCACCTCAGACAGAGAGAACTCAAAGGCTTATCATCTGTCACTGAAAGAGGCTCCATCTTTGCCAAAAAGCAGAGCTTCGAAACTTAAACGGTTTTGCAGTTCACTCACCAAAACATGACGGCAGCATCGCTAAGGAAAACTACTTCTGGAATTGTAGGTGCACTACAATAGAAACGCCCTCAATTTCAGCTATAGGAAGTTATTGACAGTGGCTGTTACAGAATTCGTTCGCAGCAAGTCCTGCAGTTCACAACCGGAAACAAGAGCCGCTCAGATGCAACACTTCTCTTAAAATAAATAAATAAAAATAGAGCTCAAGACTAAACAGCTTAACATAGATTTGGGAAAAATTGAAACATACATAGGACATACCTGTGCAATAAGCTCATCGGGGACGTGCGGAAGAACCTCACGCACCATGCCAACCATTGCAGAAATTCTAGGATCCGCTACAGTGCCCAATCCAGTTGAGACATTGTTGCGCAAAAGCAACGCATCAACAGCTTCATCTCTACTGCGCCTGCTAGACTGTACGCTACTTTCCCCCCCGAATGGCCACCAATTCCAGTTGCTTTCCTCAACAAGGCCATGGCCATGACTATGTCCTAATCCTGGCCCTGATCCCGACCCGGATAACTGTCTCATCATCAAGTGCAAGCGACCAAGACCACCCCCTGTATTCTGGGCATCTGTTGACCTATTCGCTTCGTCGATACCTCCTACTACTCCAACTGGGCCAACCTCTTCCGCTGTACCCCTGGAACCATATTGATATCACCAATCAAAATCATGCACATAAAATACAAGCACCATCAATCGCAGTAACCAGCTAAGACGGACATCAGCAAACTCAGAGGAATAAAATTAGAGGCAAAATAAACAAACTAGAACCAGCAATCCTTCACAAATCAAATTTCACTAACATTCTTAAATAGACGTCATGTGACAGCGTCAAAGGCTATTAGGAACGAACAAAAAGGCAGCCACTTACGTCCACGTGCTGGTCACTGGGGCATTCCAGTGAGGTGTAAGTGGAGGAACCAAATTAGCAAGAGGTGGCGATGCCAATGGGGCCAAGTCTTGTCGTTGTGGTACCTGCGCCTGAGTTTCATTTGTGCCAGGGGATGTAGTGGCCGCATCTACTAGACGCTGCAAATTTTGTGTTGCAGTTCGTGACCCACCCATAAAGAGTGGTCTACGACAGGTTGGACAAGAATACGTTTCTGCTAGTCCTTGATCTAGCCTGCATTATCCGATGTGTTCTCAAGATGAAATGACTTATTCAAGCACAACAGGCAGATCTTCGATGAGAAAGAGCATAGTACCTATTTTATGGTTTCCAAAACACGAAAAATATATGACCAGAACCATACCGAGGAGGTGGTATGCCCAAAATCGTAATACATGATCTTCACACTAGGCAATATCCATGCTTCTGAGCGAGAGATTCATGAAATGACATCTAATATATCAAGTGCAGTACTAACCAGACATACTGAATCTACCACATGCTTCTCAAACTCAATTAGCTTATCTGTAAACAGCAACATACCAAGATCTCAAGCACGGAAGATGAAAGAGATGAGCACAGGGGAGACGTTTTGCCCTAGCCATAGGTTCCTGCCAATCCCAATAAAGCCAAATCTTGTTATTGAAACCAATTCAATCATATAGTGCGACATGAATCACATTAGCTTTCAAGCGCATAAGGGCTTTTACAATTTGTAGATCAATGAAACGTGCGTATCGAACCTTGCAAATTGCACAATCATCTTCATACGCCAAAAGCTGCTCCTGTGTAGCATCAGGAAGCGCTCCCTGCAGGGTGGTCATGGCTGTACGGAGACGCATGAAACCTTTTATCCTCTTTGAGATAGCGCTCAGTAATGCCTGCCAGTTGCAAGTTTCTATGAATAAGATACTCACATTTTCAAGGTACAACAATGGTGTTTTAAAGTAGCTCAACCAAAATATTATGCTCTATTCAGCAAACACCAGGCTGTTAAAAATGTCTAATGACCCAATATTACAACATACAATAAATCCCACAATGTTAAAGAAGCTGAATGACATCTAAAAAACATCTGACATGCATGGCCCAAAGTGCTGCTTCGATTGCCGCATTTCGATATAATGGTATGACGGTTTACCCGCAAGTTAAGGAATAGGATGGCATCAACCACTTGAAAAGCAAGACCGCGTAGCCACCAGATGTGAACACAATGGCCCAGTGCCAGCAACAGGCTCACAATATCCATAACAAAACTGCAATTTCGTACAACAGTTCCACGCCATTCCCAAGCTGCACCTGGGCAAGCCATACACATATCCAAGTAAGCTCATTGAAAACGTTTCCCCACAGCAGCTACGTCATAAAATCATCAGTGTCTTGTTGGAAAATAAAGCAGACAAATCAACTCAAATATGTGCCTACAAAAATTCCCTTTTTCACAAAATAAAATTACAGAAACTGGTGAAGAAGTAGCATTAGCCCAGAGATCGTTGATGTTGCAAGATAGAACACCCAGATTTTAAACATGAGAAAAATAAAACTCACCTGCAGCAGACCTCTCAGAAGGCTGCAAATTCACATCGTGCGCAGATACATCAAGACTTTGCCGTTGCCAAGTGTCCATTAGCTGCATACCGTGTACTATTACTGCCTGCCAGAGAAAAATCGAGAGTATAAGACTTCACAATCGCATAACCCCAAAACCTAAACAAAGTCTCAATTTCACAAATGCAAAAGGATGCATAAAAAAGCACGCACTTGGACCAAAAATGGTGACAATTTTACCTGGAGAGTATCAGATGCTATACTGAGAGGCTCGAACAACAGTAACAAGAAGGTGCTAGTCCCTATATCTTTGAACAATAATAAACACAGATGCATCCTGCAACCCAAATGAAACATGCGCTGATTACGAAACTGTTGATATCTGAGAAGATCCTAAGGATTCATGCAACCACTGAAAACGCAAACAGCTTTTCACGACTAAAGTATTACCCCGTCTGCGATACGTGTCGCAGTTGCCTACAGTCCAGAACTACTCCACATGAATATATCTCACAAACTAATCTTTCAGCAATATTCGCGAGCATTAAAGAAAAATTAACGTACCAGAGTAAGTCGAAGAGAAGAACAAACAAAAGTACTGCATAAATTCTTAGATGAGAGAAAACTGTTGCAGATGGAGATGCATTCAAACGCTCCAGACGATCCCTCGCCAAACCTAAGAACATCTGTGTAAAACGTCATTTCTTATTTTAGATCCAAAAAAAAATATAGAACTTGCACATGTAGCTCAAAATGTGACAGAACACTACAGACCTTAAAAATACAAGCAACATAAAGTAAAAGAAGGACCAGTGCAATGTAAAGAGAAAACATCGTTAGCTGTTGTTGTGCCCAAAACGAAGCAAATACTCCGTACTAGGAAGCCAAAATTTGCAAAATCACCTCTCCACAACCTACCTTCAGGAACCCCAAGACTGAAAACCATGCGAGCCAAACCGCAATTTGCATCATTTCTGGTCTTACTACCCAAGTTAAGAATAGCCCCTGTCGTCAATACAACGCTATCAGATGAGAATGAAATACCGCACCCACTGCTAAAACAATCAACCATCGCAAACTGCTAGCATTACATCAATCGTTTAACCGAGTATCTATCTCGAGTTAATGCTGTAACCAGATATACCGAGCATTGATCGCACGATTTTACAAAGTAAGGATTATCACCTTGAACAATACATAATTGATGAGTCGCTCTACCACCTTTTGTGTCTCCACTAGTGATAACTGTCCAAAGAAGATAGTCTGCAAGTGTACGCCACCTCAGATCCATTGACGATTCTTACGCTTTAAATAATCAATGGAATAGACACTAGCATCGCTTCCACACTCCATTTCCTAAGAGCTTAAGGCAATAAGCTGCACTCATTTTATTGATTACAATCCATGCAACAACTTAACATATCAATTTCTCATTTTGATTAAAACAACTTCATGAGAGCTGTTAATAGCAGAAAAGAAACTTTAAAGGCAAATGAACTGGATGAGGACCTTCATCGAAAGTGTAATCAGAAGGAAACAGTTGACCATGAGATTCGCAAGTAAGGCCACCACGACGGATGATTGAAGTAAAGCTTGAAGAGTGCGATCTGCTTCAATAGGATCCAGGCCTTGCAAGTCCTTGTCGAAAGTGCTCCGCAGAGCTGAATTAAGTTTCCAAGCGATCCCGCTTAGACTTAAAGCGGTATATAGTGCAACTACTGGCCCATAACCTACCCCCATCGTGCTCAACTATGATACCAAGCACCCGTGGATGGAAAACCCAAGTTCCTTCAATTTCCCAGAGTCTTGAACAGAAACGAAGAATGGCCCGCGTAACGACAACAAGAAAAGAAACAGAGTATGACGTATAAACACAGCTTTCAACAAAACAAAAATTGAAAATGATCCCTGGATTGGATATAACAGGGTGCAACATCCAAAACTATTAAACCTACAATGCCCAGTGAAACAACTGACAATGACTATGATATTGTAGAGACGATGGCCCAACAACTTAGAAATCACTGCGTGGCACAAGTTTACCGAACATTAAACTAAGGTAAGCTCGGGGAATTTACAGGGAAAAAGGTAACCGAGACTGGGACTAAAAATTTGAAAAGATCCTATCGCGCATCGTGGGAAGGGTGTGGGTGATATCCAGCGTATCGATAATACACCCGACCCGGTAAAGGTGGAGTCAGCCTGAGAGGCCGATGCTGGGGAATTGTACGCACGCCGGCACTGCGACCTTTCAACTCGCTTCCAAAGGCCCGGCATAAAATCACAGAAACATGAGGTACGTCGCGAACTGCACAGGCTCCACATCACAAATGCAGAACAAAATGAATTCACGGGACCAGCACAAAATGAAAAACCAATCACATGTCAAACTAGTACTGTCCATCCTTCAAAAAGTAGTTATCTGATTGATAGCTCTCATTGCAAAGGAAGCCTCGGTATGTTGAAAGAATGATAAAACTTTCGACGGAAGGTCTTTCGATCCCCATGAAACATTGATTAACAATGATCAGCACAAAAGAGACTCATTCTGAGACGTAAATAGACGATCACTTGCACACAGCTTCCGTGGTGTAAATTAGTAGCTGCCCTGCGGCGAATGAGTGCGGAGAATTCCTCTCATGATCTCTTTCTAATCGGTGCAAGAAAGCAACAAACCAAACTAATTTTACTTCGTGTCCACACTGTAATTCAAATTCAAATTATAATCTGCAGAGTTACTCGCACACGAACAGAACTACCAGGCTTCAAAATTCGATTTCATTCAAAAAATCCGCCGCAAGAACCTTGGTTTCCAAGTCACTCTATCAGTCTGAGGCGCACGATCGCACAAGATCTCTAGTAAAACCCACCACAAAAGAGCGTTTTGAAAATCTCTCACTCCGAATCATATCCGCCAAAACCAGACGGAATCCAACAAAATTGTCTAGTGAGAATGAAGGCGGTATACGAGTAAGCCCAGACGACAGGAAGACAAATCAGCCACCAGGCGAAAAAAAGTCGGTGAATTGTAATAGCCATACCCGCGAGAGGATCGACGTGAAGCAGATGCAAATTAAGATGTGAACGACAGACGCCGTGGCAAGCCATCCAGTATCTCCAGTGAGGGCAGCCTACCTGTGAACAGAAAACCCTAACACGAGTAAGCGAAAAAGAAAAAGTAAACAACAACAACAACAACAACAACAACAACAACAGGCATCCAAAACGCAACCAGGGAACAACAATGCGCGACCAAAATCCTGAGAATCAAAATGATCCAGATTTCGAATTGGATCAGCTACAATGAGAGTGCAGAAAAAAGACAGACAGACGCAACACAAACTCGCAAGAGCAACGGAAGAATTTCTCCAAAGACAGCGATCTGCGGGCAGCGAGGAGAGCAGGAATCACCACCTGGGCCATGAAGGGAGCAGACGCCTGAGGGGCAAGGAATGAGAACCAATGTCCGGCGTTGACATGGTTACAGTACAACAACAAGCGGAATCTAAGATCGGGGGGGGGGGGGGGGGGGATAATAACTAACGCGAGAAGGAGAACAGAGAGGTAGGGAAGCAGCAACAGCAACAGCAGGGAGAGGCTGGGCGAAACCCTAAGTGAGTGTTGACGAGAGTGAGGATACAGTTGGACCACGCCACTTTCCTCTCTAGTTTCACTGTCGATCCCTTCGGCCTTTGACCACGGCCATCACCGCCCAGATTACAAGAATCATAAGTTCAGCAAAAATACGCAACCCAAGCCAATCATATATAAATATAAATATATATGATATCTCGGCCCCGAAGCACATCACTCTCGGCGTTGTCATGACTGAGCTCCATAGCCCCCGAGGATATCATCCGCATACTCATCTCATGTTCATCCGGTGGTCATTCATCTCTTTGGATGGATGTGTGGGTGGTGGATGGATGGTGACCAATGCTTTCTTTGTGAGGGGACCCCATCTGCGCAGAGCATGGCTCCACCTACTACGATACTACTCTCTATCTCTACCTGTTCCTATTAATACTATCTATTGGTTCTCTAGGGAGGAAGGCTCATTGGACATTTTCTTTTGTAGAATCCCATGTGCATTCATGCATTATGGGAAAATGAATGGAAAGTCATGCCTTTCCAACAATGTCATGTGAATTCATTTTTTTTTAAAAAAAATTAAGAAAGATGTTATTTTTAAATTTATATTTTATGGAAGATATGAAAATATCTATGGAATGGTAAGATTTTTTAAAATTTTATAATACATAGTGTGTGTGTAGTTGTAATGTTCTAATTTTTGTTTGTGATACATTTTTATTTCAACATCGGATGTAGAAAGGAATAAAATTTCTTTAAATAATTGTTTTTTAGAACACCAAACTTGAATGATTTTATTAATTTTTCTTTATAAATGATTTTTGTTCTAATGTACAACTCCTCTCCCCTTTTTAAAAAAATTATCTGAAAAATTTGTGGCATGTGAAAGTGAAAAGATTTTTTTAGAAAATATTACAAAGTTCATTTGTGCAAAAATAAAAAATAAAAAATTCAATATTAGTTAGCTTTTGAATAATATTGAAATGCGATTTTTTGTAAAAATAATGCATCTGAAGTAAAAATTGATATATTACAAACTCTTCTTACTTATAAATATATTTTTTTTAAAATTATAAACATATGTTCAAAGCTTAATTACGTTGATTGTAAAATAACTTAGTATAAAAAATACATTAAAAGTAATATCAATTAACATTTTCTTACAAGGATTAATCTTAACCTTTGTTTCTTATACATATATATGACTTACACACACACACACACACACACACATATATATATATATATATATATATATATAGATATGTGCATAAACATAATAAGTTACTAAATATTTAAAATTTAAAATTTTATTAAAATATACAGGATTTTTTTTTAGTATTTAATATAATTTATGTTAAAATAATTTCTATCCCAAAATCAGAATTTATTATCTTTTTGACATCTATGTATTTAATTTGAGTTTCAAAATGTTATTATTTAACTTAAATTAAATTTTATAAGCTTTTACCCCTTAGAATAATATGCATAGATGTACAATTATAGTCAACAATAAGTTTATTTATTTTTATTAAATCTTCTTAATGATAGAGCTTCCAAGCTTATTTGTGCCTTAAGATAGACACATGTCAAGTTTGTGACAGTTTTATTTATTATCCTTTTTCAAATATTTTTGTATGAACATCTATAATTTATTTAATGTATATGATTTTGAGTATTTGAATATTTTTAAAATTTTATTCAAACAAAATAGAATTTAATATTTAATATATTATCATATATATATATATATATATATATATATATATATATATAATTGATATAAAATAAAATAATAATTACTAATTTTGAGATAGATTTTAAGATTTATTATATAATTTTCTTAAATAAATATAATAAATTATTTATAATATAAATTATAAAGAGTATTTTTATAATCTTTTACTTTTATAAAAAAAAATTATTTATTGATATCTTATAACTATTAAATTGAAAAAAAATTAAAATTAAAAAATTAAAAATTGCAGCACATATATATAAAAAATAAAAAATGATAGATAGAATAAAACAAGCTCAATCATTTTTTCCATTATAAAAATTCAAGATCTTTATTAAAAAAAATATAAATTAAAGCTCATAGCCTATTTGATGTTTAATAGTGAAGAAAACTAGTGGATAATAAGAAAGTGTTCCATCAAGACCACAAGGTCAATATAGAAATGTGATGGCACTATTGAGAGGATTAGGCAACAAAGGCAATGGTGGGATGAGGCAATAGCAACAAGGAACATGCTCCAAAAATGTAAAAAGTCTTTAGAAACTTTGTGTAGTAGCTTCAACTTTAATCTTACAAAGGTCTAGTAACTCTAGAAATTAGTGTGTGAAATTTTTGTTTTCATTTGAACAATAATCAGTCTAAGATGTTCTAATTTTTTCAATATTGGAAGTTTGGACTAAAAATTAATTATGAGTGTTAGTGGTAAAATACTACATACATCTAAATTATTATTATTATTATTATTATTTAGGATTTATTTAGAATTTCTAGAGTTACTTATAGATCCTTTCTATAAGTATTTTTTAAGCCTCATTTAAACCTTATTTTTTATCCATCTTCAATTATCTTTTTTTATTTCTCATACCTTTTCTATTTTGGATACATTCATTGTAATGTGGCAATAGAATATTAATATTGGACTATAATACAATTATATAGTAAAAGATAAAAATGTGTATTTTATTGTAGAAGAGCCTAGTTGAAAGATAAAGTAAAAAAATATAAATAAAAAATATGGAGGTAATAATTTTTTTTAATATTAATATTATATTTTATAAAAAAAACTTCTACATACTTTGTATAACCATAAATAAGGCAAAATAAGATAGATTAAGAAAATAAATAGTATAGATATCTTTAAAAGACAATAAATAATGGTTTATAGAAAAAATTGCCTTAAGATAACAAGAATTGGTACCTAAAGAGGACCAATTGTGAATTAGAGTTGAAATTAGACTTTAAAGCAAAAAATTGCAGACCTAAACATTTTAACATTAAGCTTGTAAGAGATTTTTTGATTGTTGATTTTTAGTGAATTAAATTTGTAATCACTTTGTAAAAGCTTTGTAAAGCCATCATTATTTTGGGATTACATGAGATTTTTAAAAATACAAAAGGTTTATACTTTACAAAATTGTACAAGATTTATAAATGATCTATAGATGAAATTTGATGATTGTATGAATAATATTGTTGTAAACTTTTTTTGTAAGTTTTTGCTTGATTTAACCATTCATTTAAAGATTATTGAAATTAAAACATACTTAAGTCTTGGAAATTGTATTTAGTAAATTAATGAGGATTTTTAAGATTTAAAGTAATTTATCAATTGGATTGAATTAAAATTTTGCATGGTAGTAATCGACTTGATTTTTTAAAAAATTACAAAGCTTAAAAATAATTTAATTGCATATTTTTGAGATATTGGTGCTCAAAGATTGGCATCAAGATTGAGGAAGGACGCTAGCCAATACTTCTGTGGATTATAAAATTTATCTTTTATGGGATTAGTTTGATCTTTTTAAAATTTTTTGTGCTTGTTGTCAATTTAGTAATTAAGAAGTTTTAAATTTTTGCATTTAAATAAATAATTAAATTATTATTTATTAAAGTTTTAATCTGTTGCAAAATTAGTTAAGAGTTTATTTAAGGTTTAAGATTTTATTATGATTTCATTAAAGTTTAATTTAAGGTTAAGGATTTGATTAGGATTTGATATCACAAATATACATATTTACTTTAATAATTACTTAAGTAATATGAATAGATATAAATAAATAAAAGTAGATTAATTTCATAATATTTTTTAGAAAAGATTTCTAGAAGATTTGTAGATGTAATTTCATCTTTATACATATCTATAGGTGATTGATAAGTTAAAAACTTGACCAAAAAATTAGCCACGTGTTGTACACATTGATAGCTTATGGTATAAGCTAACAATATGGTACATATATAAGAAACTTGTCTTACAAGTTAAGACATGTGTTGGAAATCTTATAGAACACGCCATGTAGCTCTGAAGTAGATAGTATTTATGGAAGTAGAAGTGAAGCCTTCTTCACTCTTGTTAATTCTTTTCATGCTTTTAGTCTAGTCTCAAGGATCTCTAGTTTTCTTATCTTTTGACTATAGCCATTTAATTTTTTTTAATGTATTATTCTTTATTTCTATTTTTTCATCTCTCTTTGAAAAAAATTTCACTTGTTTATTTACATTCATGAAGTTCTTAACTTTATCATTTGATTATAATTGATTTAGGATTTTATTAGGATTTAATGAAGGTTTAATTAAGATTTTTTTAAAATTATATTAAAATTTGATTTATACTTATTTAAAATTTTTATTTTTAGTATTTTTAAAAGTTTTTAAATAATTTTTTACAGATTTTTTTTAATGTTTGATTAAATTTTGATTAGAATTTTAAAGATTTAATTGGAGTTCTTTTAGGATTTTATTAGAATTATTAGGACCTTGTTGTTGTAATTTCTATTTTATCTTCTAAAATCAGGTGCTTAATGCATTTTCAAGCAAACTTCATGTAATATAACATTACATGATAGAAAAATTTGATAGAAATAATTAACATCTTTACAATAGAAATTTTAAGTTTATTTTTATAGACAAAGATTTATAAAAGGTTGTTAATAGAAAGTAAAAAAAACCTATTGTGTCACTTATAGATCTAGCAACATTAAAAAAATGAGCGATTTATTTTGGAGGTAATATACAACTTGCCATCAAAGAAAATGATAAGCTTTTCTTTGATTTTCCAAACAATGTTCAAAAAGTTGTAAATGACATTTTGCATATATAAAGACTTATTATGAACTTGCTATTAATTAACAAAATGACAAATTAAGGTTATGAAGAGAATTTCAAAGCAAACACTTGTCTTATGAAGAATGACAATACTATCATCAAAGGTATAAGAGCATGCAACTTATATAAGTTGTTAGGCTCTTTTGACGAGAAGAAGACTTTATTTGTTTATAAGACAAAAAAAAGTTTAAATAAGGTTGATCTATGGCATCAAAAATTTGATCACCTTGGCA